CATGATAATTATCCTGAATCACCAGATTCTTCAGATCAAAGGTCATGTGATTTGTGGCTCCAGAATCTACATACCATGTCTGATCTTTCACAGTGTGTGGAGTAGCAAATGATGTACCAAACGAGGAAGGGGTAGACTATTGTTGTGAGATCTGTGGTTCTCTATCTGAAGTAGGAGATAGAACATACTGAGACTAATAAAGGTATCCAGTATTATAGGCATTTTGTGAATTAGAAGCATGGTTTCCAGAATACTAAGCTTGAGTGTTAATTGGTAGACTTGTCCCTGCTGAGGTGAATGAAGTAGGAGCCAGATTGGTACTAAACTGGCTTGGCACAACTATAGATGCTAATAAAGCCTGTGGTGATTCATGAGAGTGCATATCAACCAAGGAGCTCTGTGAAATGTTGACATTGATAAACCTAGAAGGTTCTCTAGTATTGTGAACAGGTTGTCCAGCATTGTTAAAACTTCCAGTATTGTATCCAACCCCAGTATTATAACCTGATCCAGAATTGACAAATCCCTGGTATTCATGATTGAATATGTGATAACATTGCAATGCTCAGTGACCTCCTTTACCACATACTTGACAAATTAACCTTGATTGAAAATAACCTCTCCCTCTGCCTCTACTGCATACCAATTGAGAGTTATAAACTTGATATTGATTAAATGGAGTAAAGCCATCTCCTGGAGCTAGTTGTTGCGGGTGATGTTGTTGTATAAGCCCAAATTCAGGTCTAGGAAACTGACTTTGTAGTGGACTGACCAACTGATTCTGAGATGCAGGGTAAGGACCACTAGGAAAGGACTGTAAGGATTGTGGACTGACCAACTAATTCTGAGACGTAGGATAAAGACTACTAGGAAATGACTATAAGGATTGTGGCTGTGGGTGAGAGGTTTGTGTATATGGTTTGGTATTAGCATCATCAAATGTATGAGAGCTAATGACCTGTGAGGTTGTGTTAGAATCATTCAGACCTTGCTTTGAAACCATAAGGGCCTCATGAAAGTTGGTAAAGGATGCATGTTGCCTTTCTAGTCTAATTTCATATTTGTGGAGCAAAAATTATGCCTCCTACAGGGTGGTTTGACTACTGGTTGACACTAAATTGGCTACTACTGCATCATATTCAGGCCTAAGGCCATCCAAAATATACAACAACAGCTCTTCATTAGTTAAATTGACACCACTAGCAATCAATTCATCCCCTAGTTCTTTCATTCTCAGCGTATACTCATTAACAGTGCTAGCATCTTTCTTTGTAGTTTGTAGCAAATTTCTAAGGTGAAGAGTTCTAGCCTTAGAAGCAGACTGAAAATGCATCTCAAGAATATTCCAGATCTCATACGCAGAAGTACACTTAGCTACATGACGATACATTGTTTCAGACATTGTAGAGTATAGCCAAACCAGAAACTGGTCAATCTTTTTCCATGCACAATAATTTGGATTCGGCTTCTTGAAAGCTTGTTCAGAATCATTTGTTTTCTCAATCAAGAACATCGGTGGACACGTTCTCTCTCCAATCACAAACATTTCAATTCCATGAGAGGTCAGCGCTGGTAGAATTTGGGACCTCCAGAAAGAATAGTTTCTTTCAAGTAATTTCATAGAAATGGTGGGTAAGGTGGGTGGATTGCTTGGAATAACGAAATTCAAACCCTCAGTGTTCATTGCTACTGATTTTGAGCTGAAATTTTCTGAGTTAAAGACAAAATCAGCCATAGATGTTTGTCTAGGGCTCTGATACCATGAAGAATTTAGGAACAAGAAGTAAAAATCAAGAAATCAAGAAAACAAGAAAAGCGTGAATTTGACAAAGAGAATTCTGGGATTTTTTTCATTAACTGAAAACAGAAGGGGAAGCTAATTTATACACTCCCCATTTTACACAAAACTCAGTCGTTTCAAGTAAGTGTAATTATACTAAAGACATGACATTTGTAAAGTTTGCAAACTAAACCCAATCACTACATTTAAAACTAATCAACTTTAATCAAACTCAATTTACTCAATATCTCCCCTTAAACTAAACTCCCCATGTGTTTTTCACCATCTGCTCATACTCAATATCTCCTCTTAGATGAAACTCCAATTCTGTTTTTCATTTTTATTTTCTCCATTTGCTCATACTCAATATTGTTAAATATAGTAAAGAACTCACATTTTCAAGAATTTGGTTGTCACAATCCTATTATATTCGGCCACCAAACTCTATTTTGTAAAAAAAATTAATTTTCTGATGTTGAATTTTTAATTTCCATATCTAAATTTCAAAATTTTACTAACAAAAACCTAAAAGATTCTTAAGCATATAATTTTTTTTTTTTTTTCTCGATAGGTAAAGAAAATTGAGAATTGGAAAGTAAATATAGATGGACCAATGCTATAGCTGTATTTGGGGAATATTGATGAATCAATTTTCTTGCAAGTATCGTCACTTTTATATGTAATTGTTGATTAAGATTGGTGTTTGTTGGTACTTGTGAGTTCTAGAATACATTCAAAATTTCATTATATGAATACTTCTACCACAGTTTAATATTAAAAGTAATACTCCACTTCTCAAATAATATCATAAATTTCTCACATATGAAGTATTGTCTTATATAGTATGGACACCTCATATTTTTATTTATGCATCGTAGCCACATAAGACTACATATTACTTGGGATGAGAAATTTAAGATTTCATATGGGATGAAACCCTCAAATCTTATGTGGTTGGGATGTTGGGGATTTTAAAGAGGAAGGACTGGTGAGTCGAAAGGTGGTGACGGAGGTGATTTTTGGTGAGTGAAACAACTAGAAATCTCAAAAATAAATCCCGCTGTTGTCAACGATTGGCAAGGTAAAGAGGGTGGGGTGAGATGGGTTTTGGTCAAGAGGCTAAGGGTAGAGTTTTTGCGGTGATGGGGTGTGTTGTTAAAGCCAGAAACAGGCCCTATTTGGCATGGGTTGTCGACCCGAGAAATAGGCCTATTTGGACTGGGTTGTCGACCCCAGAAATAGGCCTATTTGGACTGGGTTGTCGACACCGACAATATAATTTGGGGCTTTATTTGCAAAATTTCAAACATGCACTATAAGAAATTTAACATTTAGGGACGAACTCAGTTTTGTCCCAAAATGGTTATCTTAGGGGACGAAATTATAATTTCGTCACAAAATGTTTAGAACTCAATCTCCCCCCGCGCCAACAATGCCATTTGGAGGGAAGGGATCAAAATAATATGAAGGGAAATCATTTTGGGACGAAATTTATTATTTCTCGATGAAACATTTTGTAGCTAAACACCTAATGTTCTGGGACGAAATTTTTAGTCTTTAATTGTATACAATTTGGGAAACTTATTGGGGACGAAATATGATTTGTCCTTTATTGTAAAAATACATTTTTAGGGACAAAATTTATTATTTTTGGACGAAACATTTTGTAGCTAAAGCTTTTTTTTCTGGGACGAAATGTTTTTGTCTCTAATGGTACAAAATTTGGAAGACTTATTAGGGATGAAATATGATTTTGTCATAGATTGTGAAAAATAAATTTTTGGGGATGAAATTTGGAACGCTTGGTTATCCCAGAGTTGTCATTTTAAGAGACGAAATTTTAATTTCATCACAAAATTCTTAGGGTTGAATTTTCCCTCTGGCACCAACCATGCCATTTGGAGGGAAAGATGAAAATAATATGGAAGGAAATCATTCTAGGACAAAATTTATTATTTCTTAATGAAAACGTTTGTAGCTAAAAACCTATTTTTTCTGGGATGAATTTTTTTGTCACTAATTGTACAAAATTTGGAAACTTATTAGAGACAAAATATGATTTTGTCCTTGATTGTGAAAAATGCATTTTTAGGGACAAAATTTGGAAAAGTAATTAACAATTTCATTTGGACAAAATTTGGAAACTTAGTAGAGGTGTTCAAAACCGGTTCGGTTAGCCGGTTTCCATGTTCTCTCAAACTGGTAACCGAATCGAAAATTTGGTTTTTTATTTTCTTTAAATTGAAATCGAACTGATTTTTCGGATAACTGAAAATTCAGTTCAATTATCGGTTTGGTTCAGTTTCTGCATTTTTTTTAACACCCCTACCAAGTAAATATAAAAACACCCAATTCCTTTTCTATTTCATTTTAAACAAAACTCAAACTTGCTTGCCGATGAATCTCGATCTCCTACTCTGAAATTGATTGAAACCCAAGACAAAATACTGAAAAATTAAGTGCAAATAGTGAATGAGGATCGGCTAAAAATGGTAGGAAGGCGTGGTGGGTACCTTTGTGGATCCTAACATGCTCTAACGGGCCATCATTTTCCTCTTTCTCTTCATTTTGCTCTTTGCTTCACCCACTATAAAAAAATGACCTATTGTAACACTGAACAATAACACTTTTTTAAAATATGTTACTAACACGTATTTATGGTAGCATTTCTCGTGAAAATGTTATGAATATAATTTTGATAAGTAACACTTCATATTTTTTTAACTCATTATCTATCAATTGTTGGAAATGGTTAAACCACCCCTAGGTAATCGAGTGGGGTGATAGGGACTCTTACGTGTATTACTCAAGAGGTATTGAGTTCGATTCTCCTCAATTACTAATAGGGGTGGTCACGTGAAGGTTCATGCGATCGTTGACTTTATGACCCCAAAGGATTAGTCGAAGTGTGCATAAGTTGATCCAAACACACTCAATTATCAAAAGAAAAAATAATAATAATAACAAGTAGCTTATATTAATTATAGTGAAAAATGAACTTATAGTGAAAAAAGTAGTTTATTTATCCCTATTTCTATATTATCAAAATAATTTAAAATGCACAATTTACACTACCATATCAACAAATCACTAATTAAAGGAGACAATCATATTCTTATTAATAAGACCATTTCTAACAAAAAAAAAAAAAAATTTGATATAAATATCTGAGTAAACGTAAAAATTAAATAATTTTATTAATTAAAAGAAGGAAAGAATTGTAGAAAAAGAAAACATTAGCTGCCTTCTCCAACGTTTCTTTGTTGTCCTTCACTTTTTCATTTTCCAGACGCACACATTTTTATCACTTGTTGTCAAGCATATCTGATTCTTCTGCTTTCCTCAAATCACAAGGTGCCTTCTAACTATCATCATTCTTCCGTCATATTTCTTTTTGATTTGTCTTGAATGGGACCTTAATTTTGTTCTTATTTAAAGCATTTATATCTACTTTTGTCTTGATTATTGGTGACTTTTCAGCCTTATTTTTTCCTCTCCGTTAAATCATGGGGTTTAATTAAGGTTTAGAATGTTTATAATCTACTTGATTAGTAAATGGTTTATCAAAATTAGGGCTTTGTTAGTTCAAATTGTTGATTCGAGTTTCAACTCTTTATTAGGGTATTATATGCTTCTAAATGAGCAATCTTTTGTTGCAATTATTTTGGTGCTAGTGCTGTGATGTGGGTTTTACGAATTTATTTACATGAGCCAACAGGGGCTGAGACTTGTAAATGAATTAAGAGAAAGTGTATAGTTATATTAGAGAGGTATAAGATTGTTGAGTGAGTAGAGAAAGAGTAGGAGGGTAAGAGAGTATTAATGGGAATTAGAAGAGTAATAGTGGGAGTATAGTTGTTTCCAAGTACAGCTATAATGAAGCAAACAAGAAGTAGAAAGAAATAACAAATTAGAAAGAGGAAAAAGAAAACAGTTAGAGGTCGGGCAATTGTTGTGGTAGCATAAATTGGGAGAAGCAACTCACCAGCGTCTTTAATTTTTATGATCAAAAAGATAGAAAGTTAATAGATTTTTGTCAGTAAGTGCTTTTAAGAAGTGGGACATGATCTTGAAAGTAAATAATGCAGAGCAAGCAAAAATAATGAGCACATTAAACTCACCTTTTTTTCAGTATCAAACTTTCTCTTTGGGTTACCCAGCAGTGCTCCAAAACCTCGGCTAGGTTTCTTTAGAGCCTGAACAGATGCTTCAGTAACCTATAAAGAAATAAACATTTTAATCTACAGCTATCAATTTAAGATTATAATCAATGCAAGGCATTAACATTTTACAACCTTAACTGAAGAGGATATGCCAGTATTTGTCTCTCTACTTTGGCACGAGTTAGTAATGCTTTCTCTGGGAGGCTCCAAGATATGAATGCTGGACTCCTCTTCTTCACCATTTGTTCCAGGATGCCCCAAAGATCCTAGTCCTTTTCTGTCAGGTTCTGTAACACTGCTTCCAAATTTCAAAGAAGGTGGTAGGTGTGGAATGATGCTAGCATTGAACGCATTGCCACCACCAACACTTTCTATTGTTACACTTTAACATACATCTTTGGTATGCATTTATCAGAGGGACTGTAGCTAGCTACCAAAACATAAATAAATAAATAGCTTTTCTGATTCAGTTGTATATGATGTATGCATTTATGATGTAAATGATCATTGAAAATTAACATATCTTACATATAATAATTATAGCAATTGTAATTCCACAGCGATCATTGGTGACGATTTGACTTCCATTTCACATACCCAACCTTTTTAGTTTTGTTTGACAACTCTTTAGCTCGCATGACCCATTCTGGCGGCTATCCACCTTTTCTAGTCTTTGGTTAGGTGAGTTCTTAATCTTTATATTCCATACTTGTTGTGACAGGTACTTTATTGTAGAAGATGGTTTCAATTTTACGCCGCCGCTCTAAGGCTAAGGGGAAATCTGCAACTAATCCTTCTCATGCATCAAAAAGTGGTACAACTGTTTCACTTAATTTAGTTGAAGATGTTCCTTAGGTTGTCTCTTCGCAAGATGAACAATTTCAGCCTTCTCCTCCCATTGCCCCTTCTATCACATTATCTCATTCAGAGGATGTCACTCTTCCTACTACAGGTTTGGGCTCTCATTAAATTGCTTAAAATTTTGGTCTTCCTTATATGTTTTCATTACATAGTATAAGTCTTTTTACTACTAATGATAAATTTCATTTTTGTCACAATAGATTCCACCTCAACCAAAGTGAAAAGAGGTCGCACACGAGGGAAAGGCCTAAGTAAAATGAACAAATCCTTTGGTAAGAAGTTGAAAGTGCATGTTGATTTGGATAAGGGAAGGCTAGTAAGTAGAGTTCAATCGGCTAAGTTGTCCAGTCAACTAGGAGTAATTTCTCGGGAGTGTATACGTGTACCAATCAAATGGAAGGATATGGAGGTTCATGATTTCAATCGTGCACTGGATAACTTAGACGTAAGTGTATTCATTATTTATTGTTTTTTATTGGGAACAATAATTCTATTTTCTTTTACTTGATATGATTTGAGAAATAGACACAAATTAGGTTATTTGATCATTCTTTATTAGATGTACTATTCATTAATAGAGACATAGTTACATATTTGATTTATTTGATCACTATATAGAGTCACCTAATGGGTATTACATATTATTCATGGAGTTTCATATGTTCTTATTCTTATAACAAGCAACATGCATACTTGTTTTCTTTCTTTCAACAATGACAATTGCCTATAGTAATAAAGTGTAACTTGTTATTTGTTTAGCTCCACATGGAAATTGAAGACATAGGTGATGAAGCAATACAAGAGAAGATTGAGCAATTGTTGAAGAATCGATCTAGGAATGTGCGGTATAAGTTGCACAAACATTTTAAGAAATTTACAACACTTGAGGAGGCACAAAGAAACAAGCCAAAAGAAAATGGTTTGACTCAAGATTATTGGAATTTACTTTGCAAATATTGGTCTGATCCTAATGTGAAGGTATAAAATCTTATAGTTGTGAAAAAATCTTATAGTTGCAAATATTGATTATTAGACCAATATTCAATACAAGGAATTTACGAGATTCACTATTTTACCGGTTTTGTCTAATGTAGGCAAAATGTGAAAAAAATGCTGAGAATCGAACAAAGAATACTATGCCACATAACCAAGGATCTATGACTTTCGTGGTGGTCCGCAATGAGATTGTAAGTACTATGAATAGCCTTTATTTTTAACTTGGATTCTTTTCGTTAGTTTAGTACAAACATACATATAAATCAAATCTGATTAATCATATATATTCAGTTATTTGGAATTTGAAATTGTATTGTTACCAATTTGGATGCACATGAAATTAGGAGAAGAAGGAACTTAATGGGGAGGAATGTGATCGAATTAGCTTTTTTAAATTCACTCATTTCAAAGAAGGAAAGGGACTTGGGTATGGTCCAAAGCCTAAGAAAAAAGCAGGACCAAGTCTTCAAATTAAGAGACTTGCAGATGCTCTTAAAGAATCTAAAGATAGATTTAGAAAATCAGAGGAGATAAGTCTCAAGTATCAAGAGAAAGTAGATGAACTAACCTTACGCTTAGAACGACAAGAAAAGATGTTTGAGATGTGGCTTGCCGCTGGAAATCATCTACCTGCTCCTTGAAGGTAAAAATCATTAGCAATATGTCTCCCTAATGTTTTATGTTTACTTTATTTTACAAACCTTAGACAAATATATAGTTGAGTAATTGTTAATAATGATTGTTGTAGACTTGTTTGGGATGCGTATACCTAGACGTCCAGCAGCTTTAGCAAATCACTTTTTTGCTTCTTTTGAAATGCAGCTACTATAGGAGTGGTACCTTTTTTGACATCCAAGTAGTGAAGAAAATAGTATATATTTTGACATCCAACTAACAAAACAAGTGTAGTTATTTTACACTTTTAGCTGATACATTCTATACTTTTTGTTTATATGTTAGTTACAGTTGGATGTGTTTATGATACTATTGGCTTATATATATAATATTTTGTTATTACTTGGTTCTTTGTTGATTTGTAGTAGTATCAACTTGATATTAAGTAACATTTTTCACTTAGTTAAAAAGATGTTTCATATGAGTTTTTTGACTTTGAGAATCAATATATTTGTTAATTTTCAATCATGAACAAGTTCTCGTTGTAATTCATCATAAAAGAAATGACGGAATTTTTCATCTCTAAATATTGAGAGGGATGAAAATTTTAGGGACAAAATTCTTCATCCCCAATTCACTATAGCACGAGGGACGAAAATTTTCATCCCTAATTCATCATTCCATTAGGGACGAAAATCTACGTGCCCAATTCACCACACCATCTAGGACGAAAATTTTCGTCCCTAATTTGCTACACAGACAATGACGAAAATAATTGTCCCAAATTATCTACACAATCAGGGACGAAAAAATTTTGTCCCCAATTACGCATTTTTTGGGGACGAAATGACATTATTTGGGACAAATAGTTATTCTTTTGTGGACGAAAAATTTCGTCACAAAATAAGTAATCTTTAGTGACGAAACTATATTTTGTACCCAATCGCGTAGCTTTCAGGACGATTCATTTTTCCGTGGGCATTACACTTTGGCAACGCGGCTTTTGGGACGATTTGGTCTGTCGTCCCGCATTACATCCGAGGACGAATATTCCACTTTCTGTGACAAAAATGTTCGTCCCTAAATGTTAAATATCTTGTAGTGATGTAAGGAATTATGTGTAATTGTCAGGGGTTTTTTCTGGATTTCAAACCTTTGTACATGTTAACGTCATTGGTTTGACCTGTCGATCAAACCGATTCAACTTGAGACCCAACCACTTCACCAGGTTTTACCCCGGTCGATTATTAAAACACTGGTAACAATCATTTATTATTCATTCATATAATGAGGTGTTACGTGCCATTTAATCTATATTTGTCCATATAATTATTGAATAACATACTAAATGTAAAAATAAAATTGTCTATTTAAAACCATTTGTTAAACACTAAAAAACAAAAGTTCTATTGTTCACTCATCATTGCATTGAAAATTTTCTAGAGATGTACATAGCTTAATTAATTTCTTCTACAAAATTTATAATTTCCTTTGCCTACAATAAGAGAAAACAGAAATACAAATTAAAGCCTGATGAGAATCTATCACAACTAGCAAGTACGTGGCATCAAGCACATAAATGAGCTGACCTATCACTACACCTATGGATTCAAAACTCCCATATAAAGAGAAGAAATGCAGAGAATTGAGATGGGGCTTTTAGGGCAGTTTCTTTTTCATTTCATAATGAAAAAGAAATTGCCCTAAAAGCCTTCACAAAGAAGCTCTCTTCACTACTACAAGTATTGATTTCTTCAACTCTGAACAACTGGTTTCTTCTTCAAGCATCATTTTGTAGACTTGACAGAGCCGTAAAAGAAAGCATGCATGAAGAAGATGAACTATCCTTGTTAATTTTTCGATTGTTTATGTTTTTGTTGCCGAAAAATAATGGATGTTGAAGAGTACTTTGTTACTCGAACAATTTTCTAATTTCATGATATGCAATGTTGTGTTGTAGTAGAGCACTTAAGCGGTACAGTGCTGGTTTTTTATTCAAGTGATGGTTTGTTATGTCGTTGTATAAGAATTTTTCCGATGAAATTTCTTGCATCAAGATCCGCCTGGTTGGTAGAGGGCATTTTTCCGTCGTAATTTATTTAACGTGAGGAGAGAGTTTAATAATTAAGAATATAGATAGTCCATTTTAATACCATATAATAACTCAATCAAAATACTATTATCTCCTTGAACAAAATGTGTGTTATCTTTAATATCCTTAGTTTGATATACATCTCTCTTAATTATGCCCTTTATTCATCAAATTGCATTGTTTCGCAACCTACTATAAGTTTTCGATGAAATCTTAATATTATTCTAGGGAAATAATTTATTTGAGTTTGAGAAACATTTTTTTACCAATTTATAAGATCATACAAGTGTTACAATATGAACGAATGCTAAATTCAAACAGTAAAATTCTTAAGCGACCATTTTTTTATAATGCAAATAAATTTGTTTTATATTAAGTCATAAAAATTATGTTGTTCTACACCATGTAAAAAAATGAAAAATCATCTTATTTGATTTATTAAATGTTAATAAATATAATTGAATAAATTAATTGCATATTTTCGGATGACGACAAGGATTATTAAGAATATTTGCCTATTTTTGTTTTTAGTTTCCCTTTATTAGTAAAGAAAATTAAGATCTTCTGTTATTAACTCATATTAAATTATGTAGTATTAAAAATATGGTTAATATTTATAGGTAATTTATTAAATCCCATTATTGCTTCAAAACATATGAATATGAAATTCTCTTGCTATTTTGTGGGTGGTTAAAAGTAATTAATTTTGGGCATTTCCTTTAACTTGTCATTAAATAATAAAATCAATTACATATTAACTCCAAGGGGTTGGTCTGATGGTTAAGGATGTTTGCTCTCTTCCTTGAGTTCCATGATTCAAACTTTGGGGTTACCTACCACAATAACATTGTGACTTACCTGGTCCTTTGGGATTGTAGGGTGTTCAATGGATCTCAGGTATTAGTTGAGGTGTGTCAAGCTGGCACGGACACCTCAGTTACCAGAAAAAAAAAAAAATTCAATTACATATCATCTTATTATTAAGACGGAAAAAGCTACAAAAATATTGTGATAAAATTTCACTAATCTTCCCTCACATCTTCACGTAGGGTTGTTTTCGAGCTGATCTGAGCCGAGCTGGGTTTTTGGCTTAACGAGCTCGGCTCTTGAAAGGGGAGAGGAAATCAAGTTGGAGCCGAGTCGAGCCATTGATTTCCTGGCTTGGCTCAACTCGTGAAGGAAGAAGGGGAATTCGAGCCTGGCTCGCGAGCCAATAAAATAAAAAAAAGCAATTTAAAAAAAAAAAAAATTAAGAGCAGATTTCAATTTTTTTGTACTGGTTCAGAGAAAATAAAGTGTATGGCTTGTGTTGGACTGTTGGTTAAACATTGAGCTTCAAATTAATTAATTAATCAGTTTGCTGTTTGTGTTTCTGGAATTTTAGCGGCTTGATGAAGGCGTTTTCAAAATTAATTACAGAGTAGTGCTAGTGTTTACTGAATTATTTGCTCTTTTCAATGATAATAATTATAAGATATGTCATAACATATATAACAGTTCCAGAGGTTTGAGAAATTAAGTAGCATCAATAAATGAAAGTCATTATAGCTTAATGGAATACAAGCAAGGCAGAGAGATTTTTTCATGAACTTGAAGCTGAATCCAGATTAGATTCGATTCTTCCAATAGTGCGTGTGCAATATGCTTTGTTATTGAATATTATGAACCTGATTGCTTCTATCTAAGGTTTTTTAAAGCCTCAAATAAAGTTTAATTACTATAAAGTTTCCATTAATGAGACAATTTCGCTATTGAAACTTGAAAGTTATACACAATTATTTTCCATTATCAAAGAGATGACCCACATTTTAACCAACCATCCTGAACTGATCAGCTAACGCATCTCCCTTCCCCACCATCTTCATGACTTTGTACTTTGATATATACATTTGTGGTATTTATATGGTATTTAACTATTTATATGCTTTCTCTTCAATCGTTTATTATTCGCTTGGTAATATGACATAACACAATAATCATAGAATAAATAATCTCTGACTTCATTATTGACGAGTGACACTTTCACAAGCAACATCGCATGTGATGTGATCACTGAAGAAGCTAAAAAAGTGAAGTGTATAAAATATAAATACATTCATTCAAGGAGGAGGGTCCATGTTTCGAATTCAAAATACCCTTTGTTGTTTGTATCAATAAAATGCCTCAATTATATTGTCTCGTTTGGCTTGAAACTCACGCAGGCTCACATTCTAATAACTTGTTTCATGCAAATTACTCGTAGCAGCTTCACAAATGTCACTTCTTTTAAACTAAAGTCTAAAACAGTCCTAATTCTATCAGATGTGCGAGCAATATAACACACACATACCTTTACAAGCCAACACCTTCATCAACCTTGATGACGGCGACAAGACAAAAGTAAAACACGAAGCCTCCAAACGTCGGCGAGATTTGAAGGGATAGATATGACAAGTCCGCGACAACACAACGGCGAAGCATATGGGTTTGACGACAACAAGGAAAGACATCGGAGGCGGTTGAAAAGTTGGTAGAAATTCATTACTCGTTTTGGTTTTACGGCAAACAGTGGTGGAGTCGTGTTTTTAGGGATTTCAAAATCGGGGGATCTTTTTCATTTTTGAAAACCTTTTTCTTTGAAAATTTCAGTCTAATCCCACATACTTTAAAAAACTCCTAAAACGCCCCTACGAATTCGAGCCGGATGCGGCTCGTGAGCCTAA